TTTATTTTTTACGCTGCTTTTATCTGCCGTCGAACGATTTCCATGTTCTTCTTCACTGCAGAAAATGATGCTCTTCCTCAGGATTTCTCAGTAAACATCCTCAAATCAAGACTGAACGAATGAAATGACTTGAAGTGAATTCAGCTTAAAACAAGAACAAAAATCATGTTTCCCCTTTGAATGAAGTTGAATGATTGTTTCTTCACCCAGATCACTGCTGATATAATGATGTAAGGATTCTGCCCTTTAACCTCTCAAATGTGAATAATATACACACAAATGAATCTAATTTTATAATGAGTATGAAGAGATCTGTAATGTACATGACTGTAACGAGAAAATAAATGACTCAATGCAAGATCTTTATTTCTTTGCTGGGTTTTTATTAACGATCATGTGGTCTTTTGTTGTAAGCATCAGTGCATTGAGCATTATTGGAAACGAATGATTAATGCAGCTAGATGTGTGACTCCTTCACGATCAAGGGTCTTCAGAGTTTGGCGTAGTCCTTCAGCACGGCCTCCAGCTTCTGGCTCAACGTGATGTTCCCTTTGACTTTCAGCTTGCCGGAGAAAAACTCCTGCGGGACAAACACCGAGCAGGAGGAGTGTGAATAACAGGGCTGAAGCCCGACGCTCGTGTGAGAGACGCAGCACCTTCTGAGGGTTCAGTTTGCCCGTCAGCAGCTGCATGAAGTCCTCGTCTGCGACGGTGAAGATCACGTCTGCTTTAGCGCCGCCGGCTCCTCTGTGCACAGATCCTCGGCCCGTCTTCAGATCCACGGCTGAGAGACAGTACAGTCACAAACACATCATCTCTGTCTGATGCAAACGTCTGAAGATGCTTAAATCAACACACTTACTTGAGAAGCAAAATGCAGGGATTGAAGTGTTCCGTCAGTCCATAAAGATTCATTCCTGAATGATTCAGCCGTTCGAACGAATCAATTGAATGAATGATTCAGTGATAAAATCAGTGACTTGTCGCCACCTGCTGGCGGATTTAGTTTCATTTTTAGCCTATAATTTCAGTTATTTAAATCATTTAATATTTCTGTATTCAACATTTTATATTTAAAACATTAATTTAATTGCCCTCATGCGACCTCTGAGCCTCATTAAACGTCTGGAAATGTACCGACAAGCCACTTTTGTGGTCTTCTGTGCCACCTCTGTAGTATAAATTAATTTATTAATACTAATTTCATTTGATTTGTAACTTATTTGTCTTATTCTACTTCTTATTAAGGAAAAAATAAATAAAAACGCTAAAAATGAAACTAAATCCGCCAGCAGGTGGCGACAAGTCACTGATTTTATCACTGAATCATTCATTCAATTGATTCGTTCGAACGGCTGATTCATTCAGGAATGAATCAAGTGACTCTCTTTATGAACTGACGGAACACTTTAATCCCTGAAAATGCCTTGTTTACTGAAAAACTGAAGTGAATCTATGCTTAAAACATGAACAAATATCTGTCAGTGCGGTCAGAGAAATAATCTTGTTTTCCCTTTAAATTAAGTTGATTTTTCTGACCCCCCCGACGCTTTTTTTTTCTTGTTTTAAGCATAAACTCATCAAAAAAAAAAATTTGTATACAATAAAAAAAAAAAAAAAGAATATCTTAACTCCAGTACGAATATCCAAACATTCAATTCAAATCACTTTTCATGATAAATACTGTTTCAAAGCAGCTTTACAGACAATGCTTTCTAAATTACAATTAAGAGTGGTCTTAAATCAAGATACATTTACTTCAGAAGCAAAATGTCTTGTTTTCTGAAATATTGATCAAAATGAAGTGAGTTTATCATTAAAACAAGAATAAACATCTGCCAGTGGGCTCAGAAAAATCTACTTCATTCAAAATGAGCTTATTTTGCTGAACTCATCGTCAGGTTTTAAGCATAAACTCACTTCATTTTGATCAATTTTTCAGAAAAATAAAATACTTAGGGTCAGACAGGGTTATTAAAGTTAAAACTAAAACCATAAAAAAAATTTTTGTTACTTGAAATAAAATAAAACACAAAATGTGCTAGTTTCCAAGGCAACGTTTCTCATTTTCATTTCGTTAAACTTAAATAAACTAAACTAAACAACTAAAATAAAATCTAATCACTAATATAGATATTTAAAAACAACAAAAACTAATAAAAATACTAAAACACATAACAAAATGACTAAAACTTTAACAAAAACGAACATGAAAGCAGAAACTATAGTCAGTTTAATGAAATTATTATTTCACGCCCAACAAACGCACGTCTGAACTCATCTGTGCTGCTAGATTGTAAAAGAAAAATGTATAATTTTGACCCATACAATATATTGTTGGCTATTGCTACAAATATACCCCAGCGACTTAACACTGCTTTTGTGCTGCAGGGACACATTTAGCAGTGGTTTTGTGTTTCTTTTTGGAGCTGGTTGATTTTACGCTCCTCAGTTTTTGAGTGAATATTGCCAAAATCATGCACAAATGAGTTTTTTCATTCAAAAACTGAGGTGCACGAGCTCAGATTATGTAAGCACAAATGTAAGCAAAGCCAGTATGCTTTAATCCAATGCGATGACATGAATAGCATGAAAAAGAACATCCTCTGCAGGTCTAAAGGAGCAGGACACAACGTGATGTGGAGATGTTTGTACTGCAATGCCTTCAGAGCCGCTGGCTACCGCATTCACAAACAGGACAGAACTGTGCCCCGGGGCATTCTGGGAGAGCGAACGCTTGCTGGCCTTACACTGGAGGTGAATCCTGTT